GACCTGCGAGAAGACGAGCTGCGGCGCGACGGAGGAGGCGGAGGCGTTGTAGACCGACGAGCCGGCGCCGGCCGCGACGCAGTAGATGGTGCCGTTGTCGGCGGCGACGCCGCAGACGGCGGAGCCCCCCGTGACGGCGAGCGTGGAGGCCGTGACCTCCGCGGGCACAAGCGTGGAGGCCGTGTTTAGGGGCTGGTTTAATGGTCACGACGTTTTTACAAAACTCCCCCTGGATCGACTAGTATTCACCCTAGGATCAACCAGATGGCGGTCAAAGCGAGGTGGCAGGCGCTGACTAGGCCAAGTCAGCAAATACGTACACAAAATCGTACAAATGTACTAAAGTGAACCCTGTGCGCAAGTACATGGACCGTAGTTAGGGTATTTCGAAGTAGTGGTACCAATCTGTCAACCGGTTCAAGTTTAGTGACGTACAGTAAATTTTTCTCTTTAATAAATTGCAATGAAGTTAACTTGATCGATTGTTTGTAATGCGACCTTTAATGACACATAGAAGGTCTAGTCGTGTGGACATGTAGGATCAGTCGTGTAAGCTTCTAGATGTGGATCAACTAGATGGGCTTCTGGGACCGCCCCATCAAAGTGGAGGCATCCAAATGGACTTAGTTGGGGCTTTTACAGTGTTGCTGGTCCGACTCCTTGTGTATGGGCCTACTCTGAGGGAATCTTGTTGTCATTAGGCCCCGGGTCTGGTCCCGTCATCAACATCAACTCTTGGCTTGAGAAAGTTTTGTTTCACGAATTGGTTGTGCGTGCTACTAAGTCACCTACCGGAGGCCTTGATGGACTCGCAAAAAATATGTGAAAATGTTATATGGCAAAGTCTCTGTGATACCTAAAATTTTCTGCCAGAGTCTGGCTAGAGGACCGCTGAAGGGTGTATCAAGAATTTTGAGTGAAACACGAAGAACACTTGGACTTATCCAAGTCGACCTTGCCATCTATTTGTCCTGAAGAGGAACGCTTTTGACTTCCAGTTTCGAAGCCGAGTATGCAAACTTAGGGTGCGTTTGGTTGCAAGGGCGGTCATGAATGGGTTGGGATCGTTCAGAAAATAGACATGTTTGGTTATAAAGCACATGAATGGTTCGAGCCAAAAAAAGAAAATATGCCATGAAGATGCTGAACCGTTCCACCCAATCAAATCGGTCGAATCAAATGGCCACCCTTTGCATGCATGACTATGTGAGCATGACTGATGGTCCCGTCCTAAATAACTAGCTCACCACTTATATTCAGCCAAACACATGAATTGAATGGTTCAATCCCAAAAAAATTGAACGGTCCCAACCCATTCATACGACACCTTCAACCAAACGCATCCTTAAGCATTTGGCTCCGGCATGGAAGCCAACTTGTGCCGCTGGGGATATCGAATCCGGCCTTAGCTCAAGCGTTGTCGAGTGGTGTGAAACTCAAGGGAGTCAACGGACAACGCCCATTCCACAGAGACAGACTGTGTTTGAGTGTGTGTAATCGGTGCATCGGTTGTCATCTTTAAATTATGTTATGATCCAAACCTGACTCCCTGATGGATCTACCGACTGCGAGAAGCATCGTCTGGTCTAGTCAAAATTAGTCAAAGTGACAGTTGGACTACGCGAGACACGATCACGATCATGTGGAACGTTGACTATAGTGTCACATCGACTGTGCGCATTCAATGCAGACGGTTGATGAGTGAATATTCCAGTCATTCTTACCCGAGTTTAAACCTGGCGTTCTCAGATATTTTAAGATTATCACTTCAATTTGCCCACTAATTACTAACAATTGTAAATCTCATTGTTTATTTTGTTCCTTGCACAAATGAAAGTTATTAGGTAAAAAATCAAGCCATATATGCGATATGCTCGACGTGAAGATTATTCCATACAATTGGGTGCTCACGGGAGGTCCCAGGAAATAAGACAGTGTACGGTACGACCAAAATTAGTCATACCACCAGTCGTACCAGGCGCCATCGCATCCATGATGTCATCTCTGACATCTTCTGTGAAGGGACCCAAGCCTAATTCGCAACAGAGGCGCCCGGAAACCTTATTCTCGACTGTTTGCACTATATAAAGGAGAAGGAGACTCACCGGTAAAAGGAGGAGAGTAACAATTCCCATGTAGTTTTCACCATCACCAATACCATCTAAATCCAGTCACCGTCAACATCCCATCTCCATAGCCATTTCCACCAACATAGCCTCCACTTCATCAGTTTAATTATTTGCAAAAAAAATTCCATCACGATTAGCGGCTTTGTAAGACTTTTAATCATTCGTCTTTTAGTAACTATTTATACAATGTCTATTGCTTGTGATTCAATAACTATGTGTGAGTAATCCCCTCAGGCTAAGGGCTGAGGCATATCCTCACAACCTCATGTACGCACACGAAGGGATCGTCCATTATTTAAGATAACTTTATTATACATTGTTGTGCAACTATTTTTTGTCTTTTGTCTCTACCTCGATCAAGACTCACCGGTACCCGAGACTCCGGAGACTGGGACAAGGAGAGGTTAAGGGCAGAGGGGAGAGGATAACTATGATGAAAACTAGCGGCGATGGT